TAAACTGCGTCTTGTCCGCTAAACTCAGAATCATTTAAGTAATAAGGCTCGCACGCATAAACATTATATACCTCATCATTCGACGTAGAAACCCACTTAGGTACCACATTTACTTTTTTCACGTCCTCATGCCGTACACTGCCGCCAAAAAATTAAGGATAGTATACTTTCAAATGCACCATTTTCGCGGTAGATAGTCACATGTCGGCTGAAGCATTGTAGTTCAGGGAAATGGATATGGTGAGCATAATGTCGAAGGCATCATTTCAGGGGGTCGATAGGCTGATGTAAAAGTCAACCTAACGAAAGTACACATCAACCATGTAAGCATGGATTTCAGGGCTGGGGTGGTTATATTCTAATCTCTACGTAGCCTCCATACACAAATAAACATTACGGTTGCCGTCAAGGAAATGCAGGCTATTCTTTCCTTGCCTCTAAATATCTACCTAACTATGAATGGAACTTTCAGCATCTTGTCCATTCGAGGCAATCCAATTGACACAGAATTGTGGGACCAGCGAACCCTTCCGCCAACCATTCTTAACCGAGACAATGACTCATCGGCCAAAAAAAGGTTGCTCCTATGGGGATAGCGTCGCACAAATCATCACGTAGCTCTATGTAGGCGGACTTTTTATATCTTCAAGCAAGTCACGACACTGAATGATATTCCTGCCACATGGGCAGAGACAAGATATCAGAAGGCTCAAAATCTGCCGAAATATCTATGGATTAAGTGAGCCTGGTAGTCACCTGGTGGATTCTAGGTGAAGTACTTAGGAAATACTGCTTGGGCAGTTAACTTGCTGTATCAGATTTGGCGGATTCCAGACGTCGCAGTAGGTTGGGCGGGTAACTTGACCCAAATGTGATTAAACTCGCGTCGTCCGGTGGGGCCTCGTAGCTCAAGTGGTTGGTGCGTTGGCTCTACTAAAGCCTTCCCCTTACTGCGTGGGTTCGAATCCCACCGAGGCGCCGAGTTTTGCACGGTTGGGTCAATATGAAAGTCCCTAACCCTTAGTATGGACAAGATTTGC